TATCAGAAAGCACCTCATTCAGTTTTAGGCTGAGAAGAAAAAAAAAAAAAGGAGGGGGAGGGAGAAAATACAAGTTGCCAAACCTATTTCAAAACAAAAAGCTTATTAATTCACAGGTTCTTGAGCCACTAACAGAAAACACCCAGGCATTGCCTGTGATAGCCAAGTCAGAGATTAGCTTCCAAAATTTTTATGCAACTCTAAGTACAATGTAAGTTACAGAGGCAGCATAAACTGTATGGTGTACTGCAAGCTACAGCATGCAAGAAAATTAAGCGACTCATGATATCAAGCTGGCTGATCTGCTGATCAGACAATCAGCAGGCAAGAAGTAGATCCAGAGCCTGGAACAGCTGAAGAGTTAGTGAAAGTACGCTCTCCCATCAGCTCTTCTGAAAGACTAGAAAATGTTAACATTGCATCTATTTTATAAATGGGTCACCTCTTCCACAAAAGGACACCACTACATACATGTATTTGTTAACATACATATACCAGTTAACACTTCCCTTCCCCAAACAATTAAAAAACCCACTTCCAGGTAAAGACATGATGGATCCACCCAGAACTTTCCACACAACCAAATTTCAGTAAGTTCTTAAAACTTTTTCAAATACTTGGATGAAGCTGTATTATGCTTACAACTTAGGTTTCCTAAATTCCCTTGCCCAAAGCTTGTGCAAATGGCTGAGAAGATAAGTAACAGCAAGCTGAATGACTAAATATCACTGCGCCTAAAACCTAAGCCTAACAGGCTCGAGTAGTCAACTTCGGTCCTGGAAGGGCATCATCTGTCAGATGAATAGGGCCTTGAGGTAGTGCCTTGAGGTGTTTTTAATAAAAAAACCATTAAACTATCATCTAAACATATGGGATTGTTATGAGCTATAATTATGACATTATTATGCATGTTAAATCATGTTGGTTAGTCCATAAAAAAGAATTCTAAGCAAAAAAGGTAGATAGACAGTGATCATGACAAATGACAGCAACAGAAAGGTAACACAGACCAAATCGTCACCAAGCCTTGCAGGGGTGAGGATCACATCTCCAGCTGTGGTCAAAACAACTAACAATCAGAATAATCATAGAGGGAAGGGTGACTACTCAAATTTTTAGAACAGCTTCATTTAGAAAGCTCTGTACAGCACAGATTACTGTATTAGAAGAGGGCATGACAGAACTATAAATTGACAGATATAAGAAAAAAAGCTCTCATATGGACCATCTGAAAAAAAAATATCTTATTGTTTGCTTAAAAGGTTATGAATACAAATGACATCACCAAAACACACATAATAGAAGGACAAAATAAAACAAAGAGAACTGGAATTCCAAGTTTCACAACAAAATGTAAACGATAAATTAGATTAAATAAAGAATAAAAATATTAAAAGATACATAAGGTGGTACTGTACCAAATTAAATTATCAAATTTAGGGAACCTGTCATACAAGTACATTCAGAGGCAAGAACCTGGTAAGATTCAAAGAACATTCGAGTATATATGTCAATTCTGTAATTATTAAGAACACTGAAAGGTAACAAAAAAACCCAAATTCTCCAGCTGTTGCTCTGCTCTCTTATCAATGAAGTGATGGCAGGAAGGGATGGTGCAGATGGGGAAAGAAACAGTACTTTATACTGTGTTCTACTAGGCTTTTGCCTTTTTTTCTGAAGCAGCTCCTAAAGGTCACTAGCAACAAGAAAGCCTTAAATCACGAAGCTCTTAACCCTCTGACTTAGTAGAGCAACTCCTATGCTTAGATGAAGCAGTTTTTACAGCAACATTTTAAATACTTCTGTCCAATACAGAAGACTTTTGCATCTTTTTAATCAACTCAAAAATTAAGTCTTCCACAAATTAAACACTATGTTACCCTTCAACATTAGCAACAAAGTCAAGCTTACCTTATAGAAGAACTTCTTGGCTAGCGTATGCACAAGAATAAGCTTAGCTGCAGCTGCTGTGCCATACAGAAACACAGAAACATAGAAATGGGTGTACCAAGAAAGAGACCGTCCAATGACAGAGATGAACACTGCCACTATAAGGACTGTCACCAGTGTGCAGACCCAACTTATCAGTGTTAAGCTGAACGCAGTAAAGAATTTCTTCAGGTTATGAATAGCTATGAAGAAGAAAAAAAGTTTCATTCAACAATCATGTATTCTATTGCAGACTATCATCAAGACTAACTATCCCACAGTATAATTGCTTTAATGACCAAAATAATACTGCACGAGGAGTCCACTCTGAAGATTTCTTAACAGCATAGTCTAAATCACTTAGGCTATTTCTTTGCAGTCTTTCTGCAGTCTCCCCCACTGCAAGATTTATTCCCAGAGTACTAGTGTATTTTGCAGATTACCATGTTCCCGATTGTAAAAATTTCTCTAGGGAACCAGTGGAGTCACTCTACCATATAGAAAGTAAAAATAAAAAAAAGAAAAAAAAGGAGTTGCTTTTCTTGTAACTTTTTCTTACTCCAAAAACGTTTGCTGGATTTTGGGGAGGGTGGGGGAGGTGTTTGTTTTGTTTTGTTTTTTTTAAACAGGTATGCTCCTACACATACCTGAAAAGGTCTAACTAGAAGATTTAAGTTGTTTTACACCCTTTATTAAGCTTTGTTACCTTTTTCCCCATTTGTTGTTTTCTTATTTGCTCCTGCCTGTGGACAGCTGTTAAAGAAACATGATTCTGAAGCCTACCTGTGCTAACAGAACACAGAGTTTATATAGATACTAAGCAAATTTTTTTTTTTTCCCCATTTTCAGATCTTTAAAAGACTTAACTTTAATCTTCATGAAAGGATAAAAGACATAATCATGATTCATAAATGCTAGACATATAGGCCTATCATAGTCTCTCTTCATCATAATTATTCACAGTTGAGAGATTCAAACACAAAGCAACTCCTATGGCATGCTGCACACTTAAAATTTATTTCTGAAGTTTATCTAAAAAGATGCCTTAATTGCCTGAACACTTCTTCATCTACTAATTGCTATTCATTAAAGAGTAATGTGATTGATTTTTTGTTTGTTTGTTTTGTTTTAAGAATGACGCTTACCTCTGGTTCTGGGCTGTAATACTTTTTTGCTTAAATAAAGAAAAGCAATTGCTGCTGTAATGTAGTTCATGATGGTGCCAACACGAGCAGGATAAGCCAGGACAAATAAACCAAGTACATCAAAGAACACAACATTTCCATGTCGATACTCAAAAGATTTAGCCAACTTATCTGATGTTGCTAGGTATTTTAGGACAGCTAGAATATTGTCACCTATCAAAAAAAGCAGATACACAACATAACTACATCAGGGTTGATAAATTAGTACACAGCATTCTTTTAAATATAAGCGTTCTTAAAAATAAAACTGTATTGAAATATCCTCAATAAAGACGTGAATATACAATTGATTATTCTGAAATAGGTATTCGATGGTACGCACAGCATAGTATTTTCATGAATTAACCTATACAGCTGTCACTAAAATAAGTATACTTGGGAAGCTTCGTGTATTTAAACAGTGTTGCAATGAAGGGAGTAGTCAAGCTTTCAGCCCATAAGTCCTTCTTCAGGTCTGATATTAAAGCACTGGACTTCAAGGCTAACCCATAGAAGAGTGTATAATTTCCTAGTCTTCCTCCTCTTCTCCTTGCCACTAGTAACCCTCCATGTTTCAGTGA